TTTCCCTGTATCAAGATTCTTTATCAGCAAAAACGCATCAAACCTAGTTTTCGAAATGGCTGAAGAGAGAAACGCGCCGCTGCGTTGAGCGGTGGGTTGGCCGATTTGTGCGTCCTCTGGCAACTCTCTTGCCGGAGTGTAACACGGACAGATTCTTGCGCACGGCGCCACAATCATCGACATGGTTCTGGTTAGACGCGACTTCGAGGTCTTCCCTAACATCTCCTCCTTCCTCGATTTATCAGCAGAATTCATCTCAATATCGGATTGTGATCTCGACCGTACGAGCAGAACCGGCATTGGCGAAAACCGATCGATCCGTTGGTCTACTGGCGGTTTCTGATAATGACCCTCTCGCTTTGCTCTTGTAACGCTTCTGCTTAGGTCGTGACCACCGAGCTTCACCGTCGGCGGCAGTTTGGTAGAAACCACTCGCTGGATGAAGACAGAGCCAAGCATATTCTTCTTCGACTCCAGCCCCATGCCGCTGAGAAGACGACGACGTCTCTCCCTCACAGACCCCGGGGCCGCCATCCAGATATCATAATCCGGCGACATCTCCGCCGCGGGAGCGACGCGGGAGACGGTAGAGGAGAACGAGATCCGGCAGTCGTCAAAGTCGTCATCCTCGTCCGAAGACGACGCAAAATCCTCCGGAACAACGGTGGAGAGACGATTGGAGCTCTCGAAGAATCGATCGCCAATTCAGGATTCTCCTTCACCTCCGATCCAATCTGCCATTTTCGTTGCCTCGATTCGCCATTTCTCCACATCGATTTCGAAATATCCGAGGCTGATTCCAGATTTTTCTTCTGGCAAAAAAAAATCAAATTTCTCCCGAGCTCCTTCTTTCTTCTTTTTTTTTTTTTTTTTTGGGTACGATTGTTTGGAGTGGGAAGAGAAACAAGGAGATTCCAACCGTTAAATAGTGTTGTACCGTACGATCTAGTTTTCCTTGAGGTGCCTTTTCTCCTTCGAGATCTATGGTTCTGAGAGTGCCACGTCATAGTTTATTTCCTTCGCGATCTACGGTTCTGAGAGTGTCACGTCATAATGTAAGAAATGGTCCATGTAAAAGCCCATGCAAATAATTTTCCCTCGTGGCCCATTTCAAATAAAGCCCAAATCAGTTTAGTTTTTCAATATGTGCGCATTACACCGTATTTTAAATTGTAAGATTATTTAAATAAAACCAAACGAATAAAACATAACATTATATAAGATTATACACTGTGATTCATACTCTTTCAATTACATTTCCGATGGTAAATTTATGGATGCTTAATAAATATAACAAATAATTGAGCGTAATGCAATTTGCTTTGTAACCTATTTGATTTTTGTGATGCTTGGCTTTAGTCGTCTTGTCTTGTGTTTGTTTGTACTATGTCAGTTTTGAAAATCAGTTTGAATTAGTTGTTGTCCTGTAATAAACTTAATTAAGTTTTTTTTTTACAATTTGACTTGTCATTTTCAAAATATGGGTCATAGTGGTTTAGGTTAACCACTAGTGTCACTCGGAAATATCTTCTCCACTTGCTAATTCCTGCCACGCGGACAAGAACCCTGATAGACACGTGGCTATACATTATATATACGCGCATGTATGTATTCATGTAGGTTGGAATTTGCATTGGTGGCATGACTTTACAAGTTTGGTTCATGTCGTGAGTATTTTGAATCATTTCCTACGCGTTTTACCCAACTTTGAAACCATTTATCAAAAAATTTTGAACAAGAGGGGAGAAGGGTGTGTTAGGTCAATGTTGTAGAATTCTTAATTCTATAGATTTTTAGATTCGTATAATTCTTATTTTAAAAAAAATATAAATTTGATCCGATAAAAAAAAAGAAAAATTATGTTGAAGTTGGACTATAATATTTCATGGATGAATTACAGTTTTAACATTCTTCGCATATAACAGAAAACCAAAATATATAGTCTCTGGTGATATATATTCACTATGTATATATATACTATTTGGTAAATACAATACAAGATATGAAAAAATGAGGTGAGAGAGAATTAAAAAAAGCGTATTATTACGTCATCAATCCATGGAAAAAAAGGGAATCTCAAAAGATTCCGGAGTGGATGGAATCTTGAATCGAATGTTCACATCGACGATCGCCAGATTCTTCCTTCGAGAGAGATCACGATCACAGACACGTCGTCGTGGTATCTCCGGCGATCTCCTTGTGGAATCTCCAACAGTTCATGAAAATCCATTCCTGAAACGCAGCATTTAAGGGTGTTTCTCTGGATCAGGAACACAGAAAGGGCGTCTCGCGTTTGCGTTTGGAGTTTTGCGTTTGCGTTTTCTTACCGAATTTCTTGGCGGCGCGGAGGAGGACTTCTTCGATGAGGTGTTGAGCGGGATCGCCTTCTGGGAAAGCGGCGATGAACGATTCGACGGCGAAGATGACTTCCTCGTTGGAGAAGTACTCGTACAGTCCGTCCGATGAGAGAATCAAGAACTTGTCGCGTGACGTCAGCTTGTGGTGACACAGGGACGGCGAGCATGTTATGTACGGAGCTTTTCCGACATACTCGATTCTGAACATCTCCAGAAGTGCATCGTTCCATTTCCTCTGTCCAAAGATTTTCCAATCCAACAAAAAACGATGAACTTAGTTAAAAAGATCGATTCGGGCTTATGTTTCAGCCTAAAAGGCATCGTTCTTTCCATTGATCCAAGATACAAAGCTGGAATCTTGATGGGTTTTCAACATCTGGTATGAGTTACCTGTTTGAGAAATCCTGCCCCGAAAGCCCGAGTGACCTTCAGATAACCTTTGACTCTGTCGTTTTCAACTGCAGAAGGATCATCAGGATGCTCCTTCTTGATTCTTTCCACTTCCTGATGCATAGAAAAAGGAAAGGGAGTTCAGTTTTTTTTGTGTGTGTGATGAACAGAAGCAGCAATGGCGTTTTGTCTGGTTCTTTACCTCTTCAACTCTTGTGCTGTGTTCCATGGTGAGCTGAACTGGAACTGAACTGGGCAACCCACTAAAGAACGTTTCGCTTCTGTCTGTTACTTGATCATCAAGCGAACTCTCTTCCTTGATTCTCTCCAGTTCTTGACGTTTTTTTCTCCCAAACCCGGCACCGAAACAAGGCCTCTGAGCCAGAATTGTCCGGCTGTCTCCAACGTTCATAACGTAAACATCTTCTCCTTTCATTAACATCACCAGGACACACGAACCCATCAATGCCAATTCAGGATTCTCCTTCACCATCTGATCAGTTATCTCCAAGTAGGATTCCTCTGTTTTCCCCAGCGCCTGAAGAAGAGCTTTCAGAACGTCCTTGTGGTTTATCACCAGGTCTGAACCTTTCTGATTATAGCAGCAGCCATTGCTCTCACTCTCACCACCATTGCTCTTGTTGCTCGAGCTGTGTTCCTCCCACTCGCACCTCCACTGTAACTTCTTCACACTCCTCCTCCCTCCTTGCTTTCTTGCATCACAAGCAACAGTGTCCCCGTTCTTCATCGGGCAATTCTCTTTGCCTGAATCTGGATCATACTCTACCTTACCCGATTCCCTCATCTGGGTTTTACCGTTTTCACCAGACGAACTCAAATTTTCGCCATTGGAGTCAAACCTGTCATTCCAGAGCAACCCTTTGAGCTCATTGTGCACTGCAGTATACAGATTGCTGAGTAGATAATCCGGAGCATCAGGACCGTTGAATCCGTCGTAGATCCCGACGAAAAGCCAACCGTTTTCCTCCGAAACGACGACGTGTACTCGATCCTCCCCTGCTTTCCCCTGTGCCCATTGAACGTTTTGGCCCTTTAGAGCAGACTCGATGTTTTCTTCTTCTTCTTCCTCGTCGGTGTTAGTGCTTTCGTGGCTGCTCAGGTTAGTGTTCGAGAAGTTAGACTGTGTCTGATTGTCGGGATTTTGGTCGGATTCTGACTCGTTGACGGAATCAGAACCGCTGATCGGCTCGATCACGCTCTTCTTCGATCGCGAGATCTTGTTGGAAATCAAGTTCATGAAAATGCTCTTAAACACGATAAATCGCTTATTCGATTTGGGCTTCGATGATAATTTATTCTTCTTCTTCGTCATCGTCCGGCTGCTCGTCTTCTTAGGTTTCTCTGTCTCCTTCTTCTCGATCGGACCTGAGAACAACCCGCTCTCGATCGGACCCGACAGGAACCTCCGCTCGATCGGGCCGGATCCTGTCCCGGGTGGGTTAACCGGGTCGGACTGCCACGTTGCGCCGCGAGGCATCGGCTGGAGAGGAAGGGAAGCGAAGCTGTCGGAGCTCTCGAAGGCGGCGGAGCTGTACGGAGACGAAACGTCCGCCATCACCGTCACCGGAGAGACTGATGACGTCGACAGAGCCGTGGAGGGGTTGGCGCTCACGGAAGCACCGGAGATCGTGCGGAAAGTGGTGGTTTTGATTACCGGGTCGGGTCGGTGGGGCTCCGGGGAAGGCGACCCGGCGAAATCGGGTCGGACGTAGCAGAAGGAGTGGCCTAGTCCGTCGTGGATCAAAGCGACGTCGTATCGCCGGGAGATTTCCCCGGCGGTTGTTCCCGCGCAACACCCGCTCAAACTTGTAACTCCATTTCCCATTTGAAGGCAGTGGAAGCTCCTTAAACGGCGTCGTTCATAGAAGGAGATAGTCGTATCCAGTTCCTGTGAATAGCTTTGTTTCTTGATGCTGGAGACAAATGAAGAACCTGAAGAAGATGAAGAGACAATATAGATAGAGAGAGAGAGAGAGTTGACTTTTGAGAGGGTTTATTCTTTAGGGAATTATTATGTTTATTCTAATAGCCAATGGAATTAGTAAAATTAGGCAACACTTTTTGCACACCACAAGTGTTCCCTATTTCAATTATATATATATATATATATATATATATATTCATAATTTCTACAATTCTTCTTGTAATTTGGATACACTTTAAATCATATCGAAGTTTATAATTAAATGGGTTAAATAATAGCCATGCTTTTTTATATTAAATTACAAATGGTGGAACACACTTCATAATAAATATTGGACTATATTTTATTTTCTTGTTTTCAGCAGTAGAGAATTCGGTAATTTGTTTTGTAAATTGTATGATTTTTATATTTGTGTTTATAATTATTTTTTTAATTAGAAATAAAAAGAGGTCGGAGTTGACTTTTTGAAGGAGTGTATGTAATGGGTTTTATAAGGGATAGTGGGAAAGATTAAACTAATGGAGGCAAAAAGTCATAATGCTTAGTGATGTTAAATCTCATATTAACCTGCTTGGACCACTCGGATGTGGAAAATATTTTTTCAGTGCTTAATAAATTTAGTTTTTTACTGGAAAAAAATAAATCTATTTTAGAAATGTTATTGGGATCGATGTTCTTTTATTATTATTTTGTTCATGAAAAATAAAAATTTATATGTTTCTAATATGCATAAAATATATTAACTTTTTTTTCTGTTACGTCTTTTGTTTTTTCGACCAATATATGCATAATATATATAATAAAGATTTGATACGATTCCTCAATTAATTCCCTTATTTTTTAAAGTTTGGATTCCACTGCCGTTTATTCCGTGCGCTATGATGGATATACTATATATATATTGTGCATGCAATACTTCAAAAGATTTTTTTTTTTATCTTGAAAAACTAATTCTATTATCGTTAATTCAGTACAAATTCCAAATTTATTTGCTTTAATTTCTTTTTATACCTCAGAAATTTTGGAATATATATATATATATATACATCTTATTTCACTTCATTTCCTTGTAATAAAATCTATGTTTTTGTTTTCAAATTGTTTGTAAATATTATTAAACGACAACAACCACAATAATAGTTCAAAAATTGAAAATAACCGGATGCACAATTCAAGGCATGGTTTGAATTTTTTTTAAATTTATTTATTTGCAGGTCAAATATAGTTTATCAACTTAACATTACACAATATTTTAAATTCATGTACATTAATTAAATAAATTAAATGAGTGGGATGTGATTTGTCAACGATTTTTTGGGTTGGAGAACGTGGAAGGATGGAATTACCATTACTCGTATCAAAAAGTCACACAATCTCTAGGTCTCTTCCTACTTTGAACTTTCCGTATTTACACGTACACACATATAGTGACACGAGATGACACAGAAAACTATATATCTACATTTCAAAAAGAAAAAGAAAAATTGTATCTAGAATAATCGGAAATGGCCCAAATCTGAATAATATAAATCTAAATTTTATAATATTTATTTTATAAATTTATTCGAGTGAAATTGTGTTATTAAATATAGCTGTAGAATGATTTTAATGGTATTATTGTTAGAAATTTATGGTTTTTTTTTCATTTTCTTTCATGTTTTAATATTTTATTTCCAAAATTGTAATTTTTTCTTTCAATTTCTTCAATAAAAAAATAAAAATCCACTTTGATCATTGTTTAATTCATTATTTGTTTTGAATGTCTGAATGATTCTAACATGTATAATTGTTATATATGTCATAAAACTACTTGGAATTCTTTTAACCAATATTTATCATTTATGACAAACTAGCAATAGAACTATAGCATTGTTGTAATCTTTAATAATTATAGATTATATAATCTTTAATTATAGTCATCTTTTATATAGCTTTAAATAACTCAATGTGCATTCAGAAGGGACAAGTAAGAGTCATGAAAAATATACTAAATTGACAATTGAAAAAGAAAATGTAATAATGCTTCACCACTACGCTAATTAGCTATTGAATAGTTGATTTCCTTTTTCTCTTTGTTGTGAGACACCACTTGTGTTGTGTGTCCACAACCTATATATATATATATATATAATATTTCCCTTTTGGGCTTTGAATCTTACATCTTTATCTCCCTCCCTTTCTGTATTAGGCAGGTTCTAATTCCATCTTGGACCAACAAAAGATCCTTTCTTTATATTCTTTGGTTTGTAACTTTGTATCTTAGTTCCTATTACACAACCCATCTCATTTCCTCACAAAACTCTGTCTAAATTTAATATTTTCCAATTCATTCTTATTATTTAGTTTGTATATCTTTTCTTTGTAGTTGTACATGGATTAAAATGAATCCGACACGTGTAAACCAAACCAAAACTAGTATCTTATATGCCCTGATTAAGTAAAATAAAACGAAAATTATTATTAGAGATATATATGATTATATTTTGATACAATGGGTGGGATCATCATATTGAGAAATATAATATCAAATTAAATTAGTGCCAAGAAAATCAAATTAAATCAGCAAAAGTTTGAGGACAATCATTCAAATGTTATGGGCCAGAAAATCAGCCCAAATATACGATTTTATGGGCTTTTAATACCCGAGAGCATTACTATGCGCCTTCGAATGTTATTTTGTTGTGAATGAATTTATGGGCCCAGGCCCATTTTTAGATTATTTAATTTATTAAAAGGATTTCGAGCAACGAGTTCGTGGCATTTCTCCAAGTTCATGTTACGCACGCCCTTCTCTCTCTCTCCCGCGCCATGGCTGTGGTGGAGATCGGGAAAATTTTCAACATGCACCCAGAAAAACGCGGTTGTCCTCGAAAAGGTGACGATAGTGATTTCATTCATTCGGGTGATTCGTAAAACTTCGAGAAACGCTTTCGATCACTAGGTTGATTCGGAAAAGTTTCGCGTGAATTGCAGAATACGATAGAACTCCGCTTTAGGGATGAAGTTTTCTATGTAAACATCATCTTAGGGGTGTCTCTCTGATTTCTGGCGTTTGAGATTTTCATTTGGATGTGATGGTAATTACAGAAATTGGCGATTTGCCCAATACGAATTTCAGAAATTATGATTTTCTAGGTTTGACGGGTTATCCTGTTTTGCACGAAAGCGTCAAATTACGATTTATGTTTCATTGCATTCTTTTACAGATACGTCTTTTGACTTGATCATAATCCCTTTCTATACTCACGGTCTCAAAGAGTGTAATAAACGTTGATCCAGAAGCACAGATAAATGTCTTATGCTTGAAAATCTCTGTACATTTTGATCTTGCATTGCTTTCGCTTACCACTTCTCTATATTCGGATAGGCAATTGAGTTGATTTTCGTGTTCTTTTTATTGGATTTGGGTTGCTGGAACAGTTTAAGGTGATCAGAAATTTCTTTAGTTTCGCAGGGGATGCACGTTTTCATCAGATTTCCTGTCTCCTTCCCCTGTTTATTGCAGTTTTACCTGTATGATATCTGCTTATTTGGTACCTAACAATAAAGCTGGAACTTTCATCAGGTTTGAGAAACTTGTAGCTGAAGTGATTTGCCACTCTGGAAGTTCTTCAAGGTAAAATCTCTTTTAGTAATCGATGGGAAAGAATTTGCGGGAGAAAAGCGTTTGCTCCCCTCTTCAGAATCACCCGGGATTCATGTGGGGACTGTTTAACATTCTTAAGCACAACCATTGGCGGTACATCAAGAAAAGACTTCCATACAAGAGGGTTGTTGGTCGAAGACATGATGTTGGTAAGAGGATCCAATTGACCCTTGCTGTCAAAATCTCGTTCTATTGAATTCTCGAGCTCATTGCTTTAGTTGGTTTTTTTTTAGATTCTTCCTTCACTATCACAGTTTTCTTAGATTTTGTTTTTCGTTAACTATGCCAGTTTTTCTAGACCCATCTTTCCATCTTTTAAGAGCATGGAAGAAACATGCCAGCTGTGAAATTCTGTCTGCTGCAATGAGCAGCAACGTTCAGAGTATTTTGAAGCCTCTGATGTCTGAAGAGCACGATGGATATTGTTTGTTCTTTAGTTTCTTAACATTTCCATTTCCCTTTCAGAAACTAGAGAAGAAGGGAATAACATGGAACCATCGACAGATTGTGTTTCACCATCCACGAGCAAGACTGAAGATACCAGCTATGTAGTAAGTCGATGCTAACTAATGTATTGGTTATAATTAGTGGTGCTTAGGGAATTCAGCACCTTGTGATTAAGTCTGGCTCTTATTCTATGCATTTATTCAGGACTCTGAGCCAAATCCCCGGGGAAAGCCCAAAAAGCCTAATTCAGGGGAGAAGTCGAAAAAACATAACTCAGAGGAGAAATCTAAGAGACATCATTCAGAGGAAAAACCCAAGAAACATCATTCAGAGGAGAAACCCAAGAAGCATCATTCAGAAGAGAAGTCAAGGAAAACAAACTCAGAAATTAAAAAGTCTGTGAAGGCCCTACTCAAGGCACTTGTATTAGATGACAAATCTAAGAGGAGCAGCCACCATCAACGAAGCTCTACCTACCCTGTCCAATCGAATTCCTTAGAGAGTGAGTCATTCCGTCATCTAGAATCTTCAGATGAGAATTCCTCGAATGAAGATCATACCAGAGTCTTTAACCAGACGGGCGGTGCCTCTCCTGCTATTGGCTCATTGAACCCGCTTTTTCTCATGTCTGAGGAATCAAGCTGTAGCGACAACGATGAGTGTAAAGTAGATGTAGATGAAAATGGATCAGATGTAAAAGAAAGAGATTCCAAGAAGAAGAAGAAGAAGAAGAAGAGAGATAAGAAAGCTTGGTATGACCCGAAGTTGATACACGACGAGGAACTTGTGGAGAATGATGATGCATCACCCCGTCGATCAAAAGCATGCCTAGATGCACTTAATCTGATACACATGAACAGAAATTTCTTGTTAAAAGTTTTGCAGGGCCCGGATTCTCCTTTAGCTCGGCATTTCAACAGTCAGCACACTTCTAGTGCCAGAACAGTATTAACTAAGGCTGGGTCCTTTCCTGTCCCCAGTTCCCCCGGAAAGAGAGATTCTCAACCCAAAGATCATAATGTCTTGCTTGCTAAAAGCAATGGTAATGAGAGAGATTCATCAGATGGGGTTGACAAAAAATTCCCTGCTCCTTCTATAGCTGTGGAATACAGAGCAGATGGAATCCAGAAGTTAAATGACACAATAGCAAAATTTGCTGCTGAGGATTCCTCGGGTCCTGGTTATACGAGTAAGCGGGGAAAGAATCAAGTGGTAGTCAAACGTTTCAAGGATCTAAGACAGAAGATAAGGCATGTGATCAATGAGCACAAGAATGAGAAACACCGTATCACCATGGATGCTGTCCTTGACAAAGTCCCTCGTAAGTATGGTTTTTCGAAGGACTTGAGACAAGACGTTTTTTATCAGTTGAAGGGACCGTCTGTAGATAGGAACCAAAAGGGGGATTCAAAACTGAAGCAAATAAGAAGAACATCATCACTAGGCGGATCACTTGATAGATATCTTCAGTTGTATGAATGCAGCTTCCAAAGAGAAGGGAAGAGCCAAATTTCAGAAAAATCGCAACCAGAGGCGGAGGAATCAGTGTTGCCCTCTAGAGTTGCTCCTAAAATACTGGGAAGGATTCTTTCTTTACCTGAAATGAAATGTTACTCTTTTAAGCTTGAGGAATCTTCTGAGAAGCAAGTCGGCGAATTTGCTACTGCACGTACATCAGATGAGTTAGGACAAGATGACTTAGTCTCGATAGATCAGCTGGACACGGCAATAGAAAGTGAAGCATCAGAGGATACGGTTGATGCTACAGAGCGAAAGCTGGAACTGGCAGCTGCTTCAGATAGCGAGGAGGAAAAAGTAGAAACAGAGATCGATGACGAGTTGATGCTTGATACCGAGCTTCAACATGATCATTGTAAGGAAACCACAACAAAATCCTCAGACGAGTCATCCGAAGATAGTCCTTGCCTCGAGTGTTCATTTTCTTTCGATGAAGATGCTCCGGAAGTTTCCATCTCTCAAGGTATATACATATATACACACTCAACTTTCAACTTAGTTCTATGCATAGCTATAAAGCACTGTCTTTTCTTCTCACTGACTCGTTTTAACTCGGTTTACAACATGATCAGCCTTTCTTCTTTGAACTTACTTCTACAAATAGCTATAAAGCACCCGCCTTTTCTTCCCACTGACTGGTTTTAACCCGGGTTTTGGGCATGACCCGGGCACAGAAATTGATGCAGAAACCGAAAAGCAGTTGGAAAGAGTAGCCAATGATGAAGATGTCGAGGTAGAAGCAGAAGACAGAGCAGATTTCAACTACGTGAGAGACATTCTAGAAATATCGGGATTCAGAACGAAAGAGTCACTCTCGACATGGAACTCGGATTACCAGCCGCTGGACCCATTAGTCTACGAAGAAGTCACGACAGGATGCATGCTTGAAGATCCAGAGTGTTGGGGAAACGAAGAAGGCGGGAACTGCTACCACTTGCTTCTCTTCGATCTCATCAACGAGGTACTGATCGAGATATACGAGAGGTCTTACTATTACAGCCCAATGCCTTTATCATCACTGTGTAGAATCCACCCAATGCCGGCTGGATACAGCGTGCTAAAGGACGTGTGGATTAGGATAAGCGGTTACTTGCGGTGGAAGCCAATAGAAGGGCAACCGCTAGATCAACTTGTGAGTAGGGATTTGTCGAAATCCGACGGATGGATGAACTTACAGTTTGATAGTGAGTGTGTGGGGCTTGAAGTCGAGGACTTGATCTTCGACCAGCTTCTTGAGGAGTTTCTTGTGATGGATTGAGTGTGCATTGCACAACTCAGGGTTCCCCTTTTTTTTTTTTTTTTTGAAGATTTATTATACTTTTTCTATACTTTCAGAGGCAAAACACATGAAATTGTTGTATGCAATTTTTTTCCCCGTGCTACTCTGTGTATTAATAAAATAAAAATTTAAGGGAATAGCAAAAGCCCGTCTAGCTCAGTTGGTAGAGCGCAAGGCTCTTAACCTTGTGGTCGTGGGTTCGAGCCCCATGGTGGGCGATGCTCTGCGTAGACCCTTTTTTTTTGTTTTGCTTCTTATTTTTTTTCCCAATAATAATAATAATAATAATAATAATATGTAAAGTATGACTATGAGTAGTCGATTCGGCTGGATTAGGCCGAAGAGTTTTCAAATCAAAAGGATTTTGAAGAATCTGTAGAAGTAGTGATAAAAGCACAGATGCGAACAAAGCATGAAAAGATCCCACATCGGATGGAAGAGCCCATTAATGGGCCCACCGCTAAAAAGCGTACCAAGTCGGCCCTCTTCTCCCACCACCCATTCCTTTTCTTATCTTGCTCGTCTTAATTCATTATTCTACTCTCATATAACTAAATGTCTTCTATTCTTATTTATAGCAATCATCGACACCCAAATTATTTAATTTTTCTTCTTAATTACAACGATATTAATTACGCATGTATTTGTCATTTACAAAATTATATTGGAACAAGATAATAAATAATTATAATTTTTTTAATTAAATTTTGAATCTCTCGATAGTAATATTTAATAATTTTATGAACATAAGAGATGATGTCATAATTGAAAAACATATCTTTCAATGCGAGGTAACCAAAGAGAATGATTGCTAAGACAAGTGATTGTACTGCATTACCCGTACTTCTACTACTTTTATCATTACTACCAATTGAAGATTCTCTCCAATTTTTATTGATCGTACCAAATCTAATTCGAAGTGAAATTGAAAAATTACTGTCTCTTTTGCCCTCTCATTTGGTAGATTTCCGCCTTTTCTCATGATTATACATCACATCATCACAATGTCGTTTCTTCATCTCACATACATCTATAGATTATACATCACATCATCACAATGTCGTTTCTTCATCTCACATACATCTATAGACGTAGGGGTGTCAATTTGGGTCCAAGGCCCAAAACTCGATCCGACCTAATCCAAAAAATAGCAGACTTCGGGCCTAAATTTTTCGGTCCGAAAAAAATTGGGTTTTCGGGTTAGGCTTGAATCGGGTTCAGTCGAATCGTCTCGAAAGCCCGATATTAAAAAAAAAGATGAAATTTATAAAGGATTTATGTGGGTCGGATCGGGCCGGACTGGCCCGATTGACACCCCTATATGTATTAGGGGTGGGCGTTTTAACCCGTAACCCAGGGGTTTGGAGGTACCCGACTTAACAAGTACCCGAATATTAACGATGATGAGATCGAGTATTAATAAGACTAAATTTTCGACCCCCGAGTTCGAGTGGGGTTCAATTATTTTACAAAGGGTACCCGGGGGTACCCGATATATTTGTTAAAAATCTAAAATATACTTTATATCTATAACATTTTTGTCTAAATTATTCTTATTATTTATTAAAATACTTTTATTTTAGTTAAATTTTTTTATGTTCTAAACCTTTCTATACAAAAATTTCATCATTCCAAATCTAATTCTATGTAACCGAATCAACCATTCATCTCTCTCTCAAAATTTTAGTCATCTCTCTTCATCGTGAATTTTTCTCTTTATACTTTGACCTCTCTCATTTGTATTTTCTATATCTATCATTTTATTGTTCAAAATTTTATAAATCGTATGGGTCCGGGTATCTGCGAGTACAAGACCGAAAATCTCATTAAACCCGAGCTACAAATATCCAGATTTTATGAAGCCAAGACTGAGATAATATTTTTGTAAAACCCGTGGTAATGAAGACGAGAAGGTTTTCTAAAAATTGGGGGTATCCGACCCGTGTCCACCCCTAATATGTATGTATGTATGCATACATGCATGCACATCCATGCATGTTTTTTTCCCATTCTCACATATACTTCATACATGTAAAGTAGATTTGGCTAATTGGTAATTTTTCTGCTGTTGTTCAATGGTAATTTTTTTAATGTAGCATTAACTATTTTCAAGCTCATTAAGTATTTTTTTAATTTAAATTTTCTCTGTGTTCGAAATCTTTTAAAGATAAAAAAAGAAAAGATAAAAAAGAAAAGAAATATGATGGAGGCAGATAAGATTCGGGAACTGGCTTCTCGTGTAATATCTCCCGACCAGGCATAAATGCATTCCACATAAAATATAAATAAATTATAATCAACAAAAATACATTTTATTATGTTCCTCAGCACCAAATATACATGGTTTTTGTTAATATATTGTTTTTTAAAATATAATTTATACTAAAGACAACTAAAAAAACACACGATAAGATTAGTGAATCAATTGAGGAATTCTCCTTTTCTGTATATAGAAAAATTACCAATTATGTTAAAATAAAATTACTTTCCCTAATAAGTATCTCCAAAAAATGTTAGGAAAATCAATGGTAACCTATTTTTTGAAGATACGCAGGGTTTATATAAATCACAGCCGTTGGTTAAAACCGATTGAGATCGGACGGTGATAAGAGCGTCCGACACGGAATTGCGGTGTGCTCTAGAAAGCACCAGAACCAATTCACAGTTCGCAATTATTGGGGCAACGAAAAGAGGCGTACGAGAATTAATGCGGAAAGGGTAAATATGTAATTAGTATTAGTCCTTGGCCGACTGTTTGTAGGAGATAAGTGTGGAGCAGGATTACGACACGTGGACGGTTGATGTACTATCACTTGGCTTATAAATGGAAGGGGCTCCTCTTCCGCCGTAGTCTCAGGGCAGCGTTCTGATCGAAGCTTTGGGTTACTCTTTCTGTGAATTCTCTGAGATTTCTCGGTTAACTTTGTGAAATTTTCTCGAGAAAATGTCGTGCTGTGGAGGAAACTGCGGTTGTGGGTCTGGATGCAAGTGCGGCAATGGCTGCGGAGGGTAAGTTCTTTTGACGCTCTATCTATGTTTTCCCCTGTTTGTTTCTCGGGAAAATCGTTGTTTTCCGCTGCGATCCGTGTCCTGCTATGGTTTGTTGTGTTTTATACGGAGCTGAGGCTTTCGTTTGCTGATGCCTTGGTTTGAGAAATGGATGTTGCCTTGGCTCCATGGTTATGTATCTCGACGTTTGGTTTCTGATCTCTTTTCATATGCGAATTTTGAGGGATTTCTGGACAAATCGTCGTTTTCATGGCTCCAGCACCTCGATCAGTTTGAAATTTCGGTCGCGTTTTGATCTCTCACTGAAACAAACTTGATTTTCCATAATCCTTGGATGTTTGGCTCTTGGATTTCGGCATGCAATTTTTTTTTCTCTTTCAAAGTAATTTCGGGTCCTGAGATGCGATATCGGTTCTCAGTGATCGTGATGTGTGTGTTCTCGGTTTCTTCTTCTGCGTAGGTGCAAAATGTACCCAGACCTGGGCTTCTCCGGCGAGACCACCACCACCGAGACCCTCATCATCGGCGTTGCTCCGGCAATGAAGGCCGAGTACGGCGAGGCTTCCGGCGAGACCGGTGCCGAGAACGGTGGCTGCAAGTGTGGGTCTGACTGCCAGTGCAACCCTTGCACCTGTAAATGAAGAACCCTAACGCGTAGCTCTGGTGCCGCAATATAGCAGAGATGATATGAAGTGAGCTTTGCAGTAGTAGCCCTAATGGTGTTTTTATTTAATGTTTGGCTTAATGTATTAAATAAACAAACAGCCGTCGCCGGCGTTAGATGTTGTTCGTCGCCGTCGCTAAATCTCTGTCTGGATTTATGTCTCTGCGGGTTTGGTCTTAATATAAGATTATGATGGGTTTGCTACTTTCTTGTTCTTCAGTCACTGAATAGTAACAGATATTAGCCATACAGATTTGAGACATGACCAAACATCGGTTGGTCATAATAAAGAGATCGAGGTCAACAGGGTGTTGTTGCAGATGGCTTTGAAGATTCTGGTCTCTCGAGCACTCCTTCAGTGACTTTTTTGAGCATGTTGTGGACCTGAAACGAGGGAACGTTAACACGGGTTGAATGATGATGATCGCGGGTTTAGAAAATATGTCAGAGGGGATCTAAAAGCTCGTGGCAATAGGTCCCGACAACTAGGCTTTGGTATTTGTGTGAGATTTTATGTGATGGTGAATGGATAGAAGGGTTGAGTTGAAGTACCTGTCTTGATGAGAGACCTATCTTCTCGAGGTCATTTAGCTGTTGAGGAGATGGGGGGTTAGTTAAGAGAGATTCTGTTGGAAGACAAAAACAAGTATAAGATGAGGTGAAATACCGATCTTAAGGGGCTTGTTTCCCTTAGATCCAGTATGTATTCCGCCATTTTCTGTCCGATTCCCTGACATGAAATTGCGTAGAAATCAGAAAACAAGAAAACAAGAACAGTTTTCAAGACTATTCACAGTGTGTGACAAAGAGTTCTCCCTTTCGGTAGCTTGTTATGGCTGCTAGAGGTAGAAGATGATGCAAAACCAGGATATGAAACTATACAAGACGAAATTTTGTTTAAGCTCTGTGCAATATACCTTCAGTTCCAGTAGCTCCTCTCTGCGCGTTGGAAAACCGATAAAACAATGGAGTTGGTTAGTGGTTCTTTTTGTGGAAAAGGTATATAAATTGAAGTTACCTGCTAGCAGTGTTCAAGAAGTCGATGTATTCTTGTACCAGAGAGCTCTGGACAATCAAAGATGAATGAATCAGATTTCCCAGCGTATGTATGTGTTATTAACATCAAGAGAAATGTTGGTTAATAATACCTTCACACTTGTGCTCCAAGCATTGAACTTCTCAAAAGGGGTAAAACCCATTTGCGAATTCTTTGTATCTGCAGCAAGGGAAGGTGTCTTTGGAGTTTTTGGCTCAAGGGTAGATGGACACTGCATATCAGAGACTGTGGCTTCCCCCCCTTCTGGGTATTGTTCAGCATTCGAGTCCATAGGAGATAGAGCTTTTCTGAAAGGACTTAGTTCAGAGCACTTCTTTGGCCTTGCACTCTTTTCGTAATTCTCCAATGGGTCATCTGCAAAAACCGAATCCGAAGGCCTTGAAACCTGAATGCATGGAAAAGGGGGGGGGGGGGGGGCA